CGTGCGGGACTCGGCGCGGATCCGCGTCACATGTGAAACATTAACTTTGTGAGTCACACCGGGTGTTTACTTTGCATTGCTCAAACTTGCACTAAAGTAAATTGTTGCTGTTGACAAGTCGGTGGTACTCAAGAAGATCCAGAACCGCAACAATTAGCTGCACGCTTTTGACGTTTAAGATCGCTGTCCTCCGGTGCCCTGTGCTGGAATGTTACGTAACAGGAATCCCAAGGGACCTGCTCGTTAATCTCGCATCTATGACATAGTCGATCGCCAAGGGACAGGATCGGGGACAGGGAATAGACCCGGGGTGGAGACTGGGACTGGCACTGGGGCTTAGTCGGTGAGCGATTCAGGTACTGCCAGCGTGCGGAGTTTTCTGGGAATCCGCCTGACCCATTCATTTAAATGGGAAGTTTGTTTGCGAAACATGGAAACGGCAGCGCTGTGACAGAGTAGGTTATGGATATAAGCAGTGAGTATCTGAACTTTACTCTTTCGTGCGTTCAGTACCATGATTAAAATCATGCATGAATGTTGCAAGCTCATTGTAACACGTAACTACTGTATTATTTAAACAACGCGTTTGTTTAACCCTCCGTATTAAATATATAAAATCTGCGTCAAATTTAATTATTTTGGACGATATCCAAGTGGTAAGAATGCCGGTCACGGGTAAGAAGTGGTTAATGTCATGGCGGCGGCGCCAGGCGTGGATGCTTGCATATAAGTGATGGATCGCGCTGCGGCGACCTTGGCAGGTTGCAACCTTATTTATTTTATTGCAAACAAAATAGTCTCCTATTGCCTCCTGCAACATTTTCAGTGCATTGCGCTGGACTTCGATGGACCGCTTTTGATTCAAAATCTAATTCATGCTTTCGGATCTGCAGGTCGTGCAACAAATGTATTAAATGCTAGTCAACCAATTTCGCATTTAAAAAATGTCACTTTGGAAAAATAAGGTGATGTAGGGCTAGACAGGTGAACACAAATGCAGTGAAGTTTTCCACTATCTGTGTGAAGTGGTTTCAGATCTATTTGTAGTCTGAACTATGAGGAATATTTTTCCTTTAGGCCTATATAACAAACATAACATGTCAATATTAAATGTTTTGCTGTTCAGCGGATACGTCGATCTGAAGCCGATTTCCTTGTAGTTCGGACCACGGCGATTCTCCGAATTTGGAAACAATGAATTGGCAAATACTCCTTTAGAATACAGACTCTCAGACTTGGCTGATTGCTGCGTTCAGGGGCGTCGGACCTTCTGTAATGGTGGACGTGGCGAACCAGGGCCCTGCCTGCATGGGCCCTCCAAAAGCGTCGGAAATAACTTCGTTTTGGTTTCTTTCTGTTATTATAGAAATAAACAATAACTTCCATGACAAGGTCTGCTTATCTGCCTGCTTCCTGCCCCCACGCGCCCCCCTCAAAAGCAAAAGTGGTTTGATCCACCGATGCGCAAGTCTACCTTGTAAGAAACTTACGCAGTCAGTGGTTTTCGCATGTTCTGAGTTCAGAATGAATTCTAAACTAAAATCAGGATTTCATAAGCAGAAGGAGCGCAGAGATCAAGAGGTAAAATTAAAAGAAGGCAAGCAACTGCTGACAAGTTTCCTTCCAAAAAAATCTAGCCTAAAATGCCAAACAGCACTTTGCAAAAACGTAAGTTAGCTTAGCTTGGGGGGTAACTACTGGAATCGAAAACGTATCATGTCTTAACGAGGCTGAAGTTGGTTCCTTATTCGCAACTGCTTATTCGGATTTTCCGGTCCACCTTAAAAGCTGCGCAGCCGAATGTAATGACGCGATTGCGCCAGTAGGGGGGCTCATTTAGCGAGGCTTACCTTCAGAACTTCATTTGGCTTTTGATTTGTATTAACTGAACACGATTGTACTCACTTGTTACCACTTTGAGGAAAGTACCTATCTGGGCAGTTTCAGTAATAGTTATGTGTGTATTTTATAAGAAAACGAGACAAACACAAACGTCTTTCCGCTCCCAATCAGGCAACTATGAACATCTCAGTACATGTCAGTACATTGTCATACTGTTGTGCACAATGCTGTGAATAAGAAGTCAGGTTTCCAGATTTTATTTGAGTAAAATCTGAGAAATCCCCATTGTGCACTATACTGAAAGTGAGTGATTATTTGTCAGTGTCAGCACACCAAAGCACAGCACACAGTGCACCACAGCGAAATGTGGACTCTGCATTTGACCCATCTGGGAAGGAGCAGTGGACAGCTGACATGGGCAGTGCCCATGATACAGCTCACTGCGAATGCCGACTGTGAGAGAGTTCCGGCTTCCACTTTACAATGAGGCTCCCGTTTGCCACGTGTAAATGGTAGTGACTCATTAATAAAAAGAAAACTATTATAACTTGTTTTAAATTGTCTATTAATAATTTTTTAATAAGTGTTACAACCTAATTAATAACCAGATTATGAACCATTCGTAAGCCCTTTATATAGGTAGCCTTATTGTAAAGTGGCGCTGAGTTCTGTCTGGGTGGGCCCACGTCCACTCATGCCACCTCGGAAGACTGAATGGCTGCAAATTGCTTGGTGTGAAGGCACCGTGATGGTCATGGGGCAGCTGATGCTGACTGTCTCTGCGCTCATCTAGGCTCCCTGCTCCTGCTGCTCTGTATGGCTGCCTCCAAAGTGCCGATTACTCGGGCCCGACCAGTCGACTTTGTGTGCAGTGACCATGCCAGGATGGAGATGAACAAAGCGAAGGACCTGGAGGCGGCCATGGTGAGACAGATTATTTGCTGGTGCAAAGCTGTCCGCTGCCTCCCGGTGGGCCTAGGCACTGAGCCGCCGCTTGGCTTTTGTGTGTGCGTGTGTGAATCTCTCTCTCTTCCCACTTGCTTCCCATGGTCTCCCTGTCAGAGCGAGTGCCGGGGTTCAAACCCCCTCCCATCTCTCGTTCCGCTGCCCTGCGTCAAGATACACAAAGCATCATGGGAAAAAAAAACAGTGAGTCGTCCTAGTAAGAGCCTGGGGTTCCGGAGTGCGATGGCATGCCTGTGCATGGCCAGTGACAGACTCATTCATCTACCTGTGTTTCTTCCCAGCTTCAGAAGAAAAGGGATGAGGTCCAGGCAGCTCTGAGGATGTTGAGTGAAGGGGTAAGAGTGGTCAGGACCCACAGCCAGCCTGGGTGTCCTGCAGTCCTGTTGGATCAGCTGGAACACAGTGTGACCAATCATCTGCTCATAGTGGCACACCTCCCCCTCGGGGGGGAAGGTACACAGGTATAAACACACACCATTACTCTGTCACTCACACGCACGTTCGCACTGTTCACTGACCATGTCACTCGCGCTCCCCTTGCAGGGCGAATACCACCATGCAGATACCTCCTGTCAACTGCGCCACACTCAAGACCTGGGACACATCCTGGAGCATTACAACAGACTCCTGAGGGGCAAATTGGAGTGGCTCATGGGGGACCTGAGTGCCTGGTGCCACAAGGAGAGCTGACCTCTCTTGCCACACACAGGGATGGTCCAGTCCGGCTAGATGACCCCTGCTTGGGGTTCCCCTCCTTGTGCCCTCATCGCCAAAGCTACCTGAGCACAGTGGAGATCAGGAGTCATCTGCATGCGAACAGTGAACCTTAAATGAGGAGATGAATCTAGACCACATCCACATGCTGCTGGTTACTTCCACCCAGGCTAGCAAGAGACTAGCATGAATCCGTGCACTCGGAACACTGACGGATAAGCTAAATGTCGCCATAGAATGGGTGCATCGGAAGGGTCTGGGTGCAAAATCTTCCTCTGTAAGAGGTGCAGTGGAGAGCGTTACGTGTTTATTCTGATCCCGATGGGGGCACAGTGGGTTAGCGCTGATTATCTCTAGCATTGGTGGTTTTCATCCTGTGAAGTTTGCTGTTTTTCCTGTGTTTAGATGGGTCTTCTCTGGATACTGCGGTTTCTTCCTTCCTCGAGTCCAAAAACATTTGCTGAGGGGTATATTGGTGTCTAAATTGCCCATACTGGGTGAGTTTATGCCCTGTGATGGGCTGGCATCCTGTCCAGGGTATACCCGACGGTGTGCTCCCTAGGATAGGTTCTGCGTGACCTTGAACTGAATAAACAATTAGGGAAGATATTACTGGCGCACATAAATATTGAATATTATATTTTGATATAAGCTTTTGTCTCGTTACATTTGGATGTGAAGGCCGATGGTGTGGTTTCTTTAAATATAAAAACCCATTTGAGTCAATAGGAGATATCGGTTAGAACTTTTTAATCAACTGTTACATGTATTCATTTATATAAAAAAGAACATTTCAGTAGCACAGGTATCTGGTTGCTAAATAGCTAGCTGGTATATCTTTCACAAGAAAAGTAGTTAAATATCAAATAAATAATTGTAATGTGATGGAATGTAATCAGAGGAATTCTGATTTTTCTCACACCTAATTAAACGGCGCCTCGGGCGATGCCTATGTCGCCTATAGGGACGGCCGGCCCCGCACAGGATCTATATAATAACGAAGTTTGGTTATCATACCTCCCCACGACCGTGTCTAGGATAACCGGTTGGAAGATGGCTTGAGGGCACAAATGCGTATACTGTAATTATTTATTGTAGTGTAATTTCAACCGTTCCAGAAAACATACAGTAGCCGTGCTGATACCGTACAACGTCTTTATGCACGTTCTGTCATGCCTGTTGATCGCAAGTTATTTGGGGGGGGGGGGCATCAAGCAGGTATCACCGGCGTGACACCGAACGCTCATCTGTCACTGATTGGCTGAGCCGTGTGACGGAACGCACGAGGAACCGCCCACGTTTACAGGTCACATGATCATCCCGACTAAATCTCCGGTAAACGGGCGCGATTGAAATTTGCGGAGGAGCTGTAAACTCACTGGCGGCTGAGATCTGCGCCTTCGCCGCCAATATCTTCATTTCGTCGCTGGGCAGCTGGCGACTCCTGTTTATTTCACTTTTAATCGTTCAGCTTTCCTCACCGTTCTCAGCGCGAACCGGCAACAACTGGACGTGTACGGGGCGCTCGCGGGCGACGCGGCGATCGGTGCGGCCCATCATCACCATGACGGAGCGGACGCCGCTGCTGCACTATCGCTTATCCACCAGCGTCAATGAGACGGAACAGCGCTCCAGCCCTGTCGGGGTCGCGGTGGAACGGACCCCGGCGGCGTCCCGGCGGAAGGCGTCCAAAAGTCGACCGCAGAAGCTGTCCACCTTCTTCGGCGTGGTCATCCCCACGCTGTTATCCATGTTCAGCGTCGTTGTCTTCCTGCGGATTGGTGAGGATCCGATCTCCGCCAGACGGTGTTCGGGTGTCCCTGCGCGACTGTTCCTTCTTCCCCTCAGGCTGGCTGTGTTTGGTGGGAGTTTCTGTCAAGCCTGGCATCGCTGGCTCTGTCGTGATGTATTGCCTTGTAGATATGATTGTAAATAATGGCGGGCTTTGGCCACTGCACTAGGCGGTCCTGTAAGTGAGACACTTACCGAGGGCCGATCGTTCGTAAGTCTATGATCCAGCCTCGAGGTTAATATTAAGGTCTCACATGACAGCCTGGACGCCAGTGGTAAATAACTTACCGTGCAGATGAGGGTCATAGTCCTTTTAAAATGCTTCTGTTTCTCGATCCTATGAGGTGTCAGCTGCCTGCTTTCTGTCCTTAATCTGCTGAAAATGCCGGCCGTTTTTGTACGTAACATGTATAAACTTCCCTGAGTCCTCTAAACGCCGGCTAGAGTAAATGTGAGAGGAAATCCCTGATTGGTTTTAATCCTTCCTTCCGGTACACATGCTGCGCTACCAAGAATGCGCTCTTCGAATGCAAGGAACAGCTTGTTTAGTGTTTTTTATTCTTAATTTTTCAAAAAATTGTTGGTCGCCATAAAGAGGTTTTGTTCTTTCTGGAAGGGTGTGTATGCATTCCTGGAGGTGTTTTCCAATTCTGTTCATGGCAAACAATCATAACACTTTAATATTAATATGCTCCCACAGATATCCCTGTATACGTGACCTCCTGCTGACCCTGATGGTCTATCTGTCAGTCAGGTGTCACTGCTACGCAGTGCTTTGAGGGCCAGTGGCTCTGTGCTTGTGTCTGCAGGATTTGTGGTGGGGCAGTGTGGCCTGTACCAGACGTTTGCCATGCTGTTGGTGGCCTACTTCATCATCAGTATGACCGTGCTGTCCGTGTGCGCCATCTCCACCAATGGGGCTCTGGATGCAGGTGGCGCCTACTGTATCCTGTGGGGGGCTGGACACTGTCACTGAACAGTGTATTCCTTTGACCTTGAGTTTGTAGTATTGCATTATCCACATGTATTCTGTCACATGAGGCTATAGTTAATATTAGTTTCAATGAATAGTTGCTCGACAGATTTTGGTTTTGGTTTAAGGGTGTCCAGGCTTCTGGGCTTTGGGTCTCACCAGCTTCTCTCCTCAGGATCAGTGCCTCTGGACTCTGGAGCTTGACTACTACTCCTTTCCTCAGTCTCCTCGCTCCCCTTGCCCATACATCCAGTGTTTCCCTCCTTGACTGTCCGTCCTACCAGACATGATCAGTCGAGCCCTGGGACCAGAGTTTGGCGGCAGCCTTGGAATCATGTTCTTCTTTGCCAATGTGTGCGGGAGCGCCCTCTATGTGCTGGGGCTGGTAGAGGCGGTGCTCGCCACCTTCGGTGTTCAGGAAGGTATGGGAAGCTTTGCTTTGCTGCATGAAAGATGCCTGTGTTGCTGGAGGGATGCGTGTGTACTGCCTGATTCTATCTCCCCACAGATGTGTCTGGCCTCTCCAGCACCCAGTATGTCCTGCCAGTCGGTTACTGGTGGTCCCTGCTGTACGGTACGGTCATCCTGCTGGTGTGCCTGCTGGTGTGCCTAGTGGGTGCCCACATCTACGCCAGGGCCACCTTCCTCATCTTCCTCATCGTCATGCTGGTCCTGGCCACAGTCTTCATCAGCTTTTTCGCCGTACGACCCCACATGGTACAATTACCTGTGTCCAATTACTCCAGAGTGCACAGTGCCAATTTCACAGGGTTCAAGCTGGACACACTGCTGGGAAATCTCAAAGGTGCGTATATTTATGGCTCGATGGGCTTCCACAAAGTTCTACGATCTTCCTGTTCCAGTGTCCTATTTTCTAGAAGAACGATAGAGCACCTAAGGCAGTGTTGTACTGAGAAGGATTTTCTTTTATTATTTTATCTTGTTATGTGATGCCACATTAAGTCCAGGTGCAGATGGCTGAAACTCTCGGCTGGAAATAGCTGTATTTCAGCCTCATGAGGGAAAAATTTGTGTGAATCAGACTGGAAATGGAGCCCCGGGGTGCCGCGGTCGCCGCGGTCGGGGATGGTCATCGCCTGCCGCATTCTGTCTCTGCAGCTGCCTACACGGTGGACTACACCACCGGGACCATGATGACCTTCGCCACAGTCTTTGCAGTCATGTTCAACGGCTGCACGGGCATCATGGCCGGCTCGAACATGTCCGGTAAGCGGCGGGCTGGGGGTGACGATAACCCCTCCCCCTCGGCGCTCCCGGTGACCTCAATCTCCCTTCTCCATGGGCGCTTGTGTTTCAGGAGACCTGAAGAGTCCTAGCTACTCCATCCCCAGGGGCACCATCACTGCCGTCATCTTCACCTTCATCACTTACACCCTGCTCAGTGTGCTGGTGGCGTGCTCCTGTGAGCGGTCAGTCCCTCCCCCATAATCCCCTCCACGCCGCATCCATCCCAGTGTAGTCGTGTGACTTTTTATACATGCCTGCCCGCTGGTGTTGAGCTACAAGTTGGAGTTGGTCCTCCCTGTGCCGGCTGCAGGTCTTGAGGTTGGGCTTCTCTTCAACATAGTCGCTTGGATCCGATATGGCGCGTGATCATGTGACGCATTTGGTCATGTGATGTCGACAGTGCGTGAGGGTGTCTTCCTGTTGTGTGCCTATTTCCTCCCTTCAGCAAGGCTTTGATGAGTGTTTAGGGAATGAGTCCTGGGTCCTGCTGGGTACACCTAGGGCGGGGGGCCGGCGGGCGGCTGGCTCCAGCGTCTGAATCACTCGTCTGACAGCCCGAGTGACGGTTATGGTCAGGCTGGGGTTAGCAGACGATGTCTCTGCTTGCCAGATTCCTCAGGTGACCGTTTGCGGCCCATGCGTACATGCTCAGAGGAAGTGTAGCTTCGCTGCCCCCACTGGCTGTCTGCTTCTGCCCCCCCTGGGGACACCCTGGGGAATTTCCTGCCATTCTTTCTGTTTCACATCTGCATTTTCGCCGGGCGGTTTGGTCCCATTTTGCTGATAGGTGCTGGTCTGCCTTTGTGACGTCCCCATCCCCATCGCACCGATTGGTCAACCGAGCCTCTCAGGTTTGCTGCACGCGCTCGTGGTGTGGGGGGGGCCCACCTGTCCCACTCCCTGGGAAGTGCCTGCTTCCCTTATCCACACCAGCAACATGGTCACATGACACCAGTCGGAACAGGAGCGAATGTTAAAAGGGGAAGTGATCATCACCCCCTGCTGATAAATGGCCTCGGGGAGGGGCAGTGTTGCACAATGCCTGTGACACACTCCCACCGTCCGTTTTTGTCATCTCCTTACGGAGTTTGGGGGGGGTGGGGGGGCACTTCAGCTGCGAAAGACCTGTGGAGACTGCAGCCCAGTGAAAATGCCCAGATGGATTGTGACTGAAATGTGTGTTACTGGTTGTGACCATTAGATGGCGACGGTTAACCTTAGTTTCTTCTAGGACCAAATTTAGTCTAAGTCAGGGGTCTCCAGCTCCAGTCCAGGGGAGCCCCAGTCCTGCACTTTTCTGTGTTTTCCCCATTTAACACCCCTGATCAAACTTCTCTGCTAATTACCACCCATTCCTCGAGTTGAATCAGGTGTGGTGGAACAGCTAGGAGAGAATTAAGCTGCAGGACTGCGGCTCTCCAGGACTGGAGTTGGAGACCCCTGGTCTAAGCAGTCTGAGGCTGCTGATGCCTCTTTCTGTGTGTTTATATGCGTCTTGCTCATGGTGCTCTAAGAAAAAGGCTGCAGTTTGCCCTTCGGTCCACCAGAGGGTGATGTTGATCTCTTGGTCCAATATTGGTCATGCTATGATTTTTGTGAATAATATGGCCCTCCTATTTCCTGCTGCTGTCCTCATTAAATCCTCTTCACTTTCTGTAAGTAAATGTATTGCATTTTAGCTTCGGGGTGTTCATAACTTGCCACTTCAAGTGGTAGAAGCAGTATGTGTGTGTGGTTTGTGTCTGTGTACGTTACAATTCCTTGGCGATGATTGTGAATCGCATGCGTTAGTTGTGTAAAACTTGTAATTATCTCCTGCCTTTTCTGGTTTAATGCGTGTGGGATTGGTGCCCCTGGGCCCCAGCAGATGATGCTCCAGCTGGCTGTCATGCTTCTGGATATTGGTTCTGATCCAGCTAATCTGAAACTCCTCCCCTATCTCTGTCTGCCAATGGCTCCTGAAACCCACCTGGGTCTGGCCGATGGCATCTCCACTAGGCTTGTCGGTTTTGATGTCGTTTAATGACTCTTAGGTTGAGTACGTGACTCTCTCCCGTGGCGGGTTCCTGTCCAGCGTGGGCTTGTGTAGCGCACAGCACATTGGTGTCCCAGCTCGTGTGTTCAGATGAACCCCGTCGCGGGTCGGAATCCTGGCCAAGCCAGCGCCTTGTACTGAGGTACGCCAGCAGCATTCGCTCGCCAGCTTTTAACTGAACCTGAAGAGCTACTGGGCGGTTTTGTCCTCCGCTGAGGCAGTGGAAGCCTTCTGAGGATGGGAAAATGGCAAGCTGGATACTGGGATACTGGTAGCTCCAGCTAGTCTTATGGCACCATTCTGTGAGTCTGGACTGCGGCTCTCCATCCGTCGTTTGTGTGTGTGTATATATGTGTGTGTTTTATTATATATTCCACACACATACACATTATAATTTGTGTGTGTGTCATGTGACCAGCTTGTCAGGGGTCATAGTTCACCATGGTCAAAATAATTATAGTGGAAAAACACTGAACTTTGAAACTTTTCTTCTTCCATTTAAACATCCCTAGACAGCCCCTTTCATCTATCTCTCCTTTATTGCCTTTTATTTATTTACTTACTGCAACTCATTTCAGAGCTGTGATCCAATCAGTGACTCGTATTATGGGTTTAATGCGAGCGATGGAACGTGTCAGAGTGCGTGTGTGATGTGCGTTATGCACACACACACACCCGGGGCTGCCTGCTCCCGCTCGCTGTCTCTGTCCCTGTCCGTCCGTCGCCTGAATGGCAGTTTCATTATCCCGGGCGATGCTGAGACTCCCGAAAGCTGCCGTCTGCGGTGGAGGTGCTGTGTGTTCAGATGATGGTATCGACCGGATGGTAATAGGTCTCTGATGATGAGTGTTAAAACTGTTCAAGCTGAAAGACTCATGATGGGAGTCTTAATTACCGCCAAAGGCGCTGGTGGGGGGGGGCTGCCGCCGGGCGGTGGGCGGAGTCTCGCGGCTCTGGGGTGCGTTCCCTTCAGCTGTAAATCGGGGGGTGCGCTCAACTGAGGCTCGACAGGATTTAAGGGAGAAATGGCGACCCCTGCGGGCCTGTCCTGAGGTCCCACCCTCCTGTCTAATTTATGCTCGCTTGATAAGGTAATCAAGGTAATTCCTTGCTGGGGAGTTCCACCTTGAACACACCCCTGTTCACAGCAGGCTCCCATTCTAATTGGTCGTCTCATTGATTAATTAGAATTGGCCCCACCCCCAGCTTGACCGTGCACTGACCTTCCCCGCTGAATCCCTCTTTCCTCTCCAGGCTGCTGCTGCAGAAGGATTACAGCTTCCTGCAGGACATTAACCTGTGGCACCCGTTCGTCATCATCGGCGTGTACTCGTCCACGCTGTCCGCGGCCATGAGTAACCTTATCGGGGCGTCTCGCATCCTGTACGCCCTGGCGCGCGATGAGCTCTTTGGTGAGGTCTCTGCCCCTTACACCCCCCCCCCCCCCAATGAAGGCAGTCTTCTGCTCACTGAGATATGTTTACCCCCCCAACAGGCCGTGTGCTATCTCCTGCCAAGAAGACCTCTCGCAGCGGGAACCCCTGGGTGTCTGTGCTCATATCCTGGTTCCTCGTGCAGGTGGGGCAGACCTGGGCCCGGGGTGGGTGGGTGCGTGGGTGCGTACCCTGTGGGCGGGCAGCTGGTTCTGATCCAGTCCTAAGCTCTATGCTGTCACACCGTTGCTAATGGCTGCCATACTCAGCACTTACCTTCCTAACTGGTCTCTCAGTGCTATCCCAGCATTCCCGGCTCCCATCTGCAGCTCTCAACCTCACCCATTCTTTTGTCCCAGACCATTTTCGCTGTAATGCTGGCCGTTTCCGGGCCAGACCACGTCCCCTTTCATTGGAGGCCCTGTGCTCCAGTCTGGGATCCTGCCATGTCATTCGACACCATAGAGCTTCCTTGAGTTCAGTGGTTTGGGTTTTGGAAGGTGTCCAGGGCTGATGTATTAGGGACAGTGTGTACCCACACATGCACACACACGCTCCACTTGAATTTTGCTGTGCACAACAGCACAGTGAAGCCCAATATAGTGATGGCTACAATTAGAATCAGACAAAGAATCATTAAACAGATGAAAAGCTGATTGTCTCTTGCCCTGTAATAACGTTCGATTTGCACAGGTGAAGATGAGGGAGTTTTTGGCTTCATGAGTATTCAACGTGTGTGTGTGTGTGTGTGTGTGTGTGTGTGTGTGTGTGTGTGTGTGTGTGTGTGTGTGTGTGTGTGTGTGTGTGTGTGTGTGTGAGATTCACATGCATTTTCGCTCCATGGCTCCCTCCGCTGGCTACTGATAGTAGTACCGGGGTGGATATTACCGCATACCTGCACATACCGATCTTTCATGTCTTGTTTTTCCCTGTGCAGCTGGTTCTCTTCTCCGGTAAACTGAACACCATCGCCAGCATCGTGACCATCTTCTTTCTGCTGGTCTACGCCGCCGTGGACTTGGCCTGCCTGGCTCTCGAATGGGCCTCTGCTCCGAACTTCAGGTATGACCCGCCTACCGGTGACCTGGGAGTTCCTCTGGAATGCAGCCCAGCTTACGGCCCCCCCAGGACAGTCTGCCCGAAGATGAGGCCTCCCTATAGGCAGGCCTACCTCCCCCAGGGTCAGAAACTCTCCCTCTTCTGCCTTCTAACCTGGACAAGGTCACGATGGGAAGGCCTAAGGTCTATCCCAGGCAGTCCAGGCCACAAGACAGGGGTGTACAACACAAGTTATGGGCAATATAGGTGGCAGCTATTCCAATTACTATGAAACTCCGCGCAGAGAGTAGAGGAGGGATTCGATCCCACAACCCACTAGGCTCAGACCCCAAGGACCGGGATTTGAATAGCCGGGCTTTAGCTGCAGGCCTCAGCTTCCTCTAGCTTCACTCAAGAAACACGGGGGGGGGGGGGTCACTGCTGTCCCAGCTTTCCTGCATGAATCTGTCACAGGCCTGGGGTGGAGGGGGGGGGCAGTGGACAGCAATCAGTCACGGGTTAATCAGAGCATGTCGGCCTTTATGCGGCGCGTGTAGGAACATGCTCGTTAGCGCCGAGCCTCTCGCCGCTTTCATGTTCCCCTCTCTTCCTCTTCCGCGCTAATTGCCGAGCCTCGGCGGGCCGGCGTGTGCGTTTCTGCCGCTGATAAAGCCCACCGAGCTGCCGGGGGGATTTTCTGTGCCGCCGTCCTTTGTGACCATCGCAGTGTTTGCAGTAAACAGCCTGGGCCGGCTCTGGGCGCCGCGCTCCAGGCTCGGCTCGGGGCTGATAAGAACCCCCCCCCCGCCCAGCTCCTGCGGCCCCCCCCCCCCCCCCCCCCCCCCCCCCCCCCCCCCCCCCCCCCCGCGGCCCCCCCCCCCCCCGACACTTTGTTGTTTGCGAGCCTCACTGGCTTTGCCGTCGCCTGTCTTTTGAGGCGAACAGAATTAAACCCATTTAGCCGTGTGTCCTTAGAGAAATGTGCTGTAATTAGCATAACTAATTTAGCAGAAACATTTTTGCTTTTTGCCTAAATTCAGCTGTGTTGTTGTTGTTGGCCTCGGATGGCAGACGGAAAGCGGTTCTGCTCGGTCAGTTGGTTGGTCCGGCTTTCCTCGGATGTAGGTCTGTGATGCGTCCTGGCCTTTTCCTGTACGTGAACCCATTCGATTTGATGTCCTGTCACCTGACAGCTGAAGGTGGGGTCATAGTGTAATCAGCCAGCCCTCGTTAATCAGTCCTCATTAAGGAGCTTCAGCCTGGTGTGTCCATCCTGCTGCTGGTTTTTATCCAGGCCCCCTCGCTCCCGGCAAGGCTGTCCTCCGGCTGCCTGAACAAGGACTTTGGCACAATTTCCTGCTAATGTCAGCAAAGTGACATCAGTGACTGGGCTATTGGGGGACCCATTTCAGAAATGCACTATCACTGAAGCCATCAGATACTCATGGGGGTGGGGGTGGGGGGGGGGTGGCTGTGGGCCAGCTTTCAGCATAATTACACACCCAGAAAGATGGGGGGTGAGGCCCAAGAAGACGGGGAGAGAGGCATGTGGGGAAGGCAGCAGACATCAATAAAATTAAACTGAACAGGAAATTTTAAAAAGGAAAAGTATTGAGAGTGAGCAGTTATAGGCGTCCATATGCCTGCCTGCCTGGGAGTGAGCGGTTATAGGCGTCCATACGCCTGCCTGCCTGGGAGTGAGCGGTTATAGGCGTCCATACGCCTGCCTGCCTGGGAGTGAGCGGTTATAGGCGTCCATACGCCTGCCTGCCTGGGAGTGAGCGGTTATAGCTGTCTGTGCACCCATCTTCTGGCCTGTCTCGCTGCTGACTGTGTTCTGCTGTCGCCCCTCTCTTGGGCGGGTGGTGGTGGGAGGGTGGGCTGTGGTGTTAAACACCACGTCCTGTGTGTATGAGGTACGGGCCACCGGCTTTTTTTCCCGTAGGTGCTTTTTTCCCAGCTGGGTTTTGGCGACGATGCCGATGACTCATTTAAATGATAATTACAACAAAGGCGAAAGCGCTTAATGTTCATAGCTGGGGGAGGGGCCGGCGTGTGACCAGTGACCCCCACACTCACGGCCGGGTAAGCCGCTCATCGCTCTGCGTGCCGCTCATCCATCGTTTCTGGCATGTTCTCTGCATCGGGGGTCAGGGGGTCCACACTTGAGTCTCTCCAGCTGCGGGTCCGGACACTGCGGAGCCCCTGGGGTGTGGTGGCCCTCTGACTCCGCCCCTACGCCCCCTTCAGGCCCACGTTCCGCTACTTCACCTGGCACACCTGCGTTCTGGGCATCCTGGGCTGCGGTGTCATGATGTTCCTCATCAACGCCATCTACGCCTCGGCCAGCATCGCTTTCATGCTCCTTCTGCTCCTCGTCATCCATTATCTGTCACCCACCAGCAGCTGGGGCTACATCAGCCAAGCCCTCATCTTTCACCAGGTGCGGGCTGCGCCTCTGGGGCTTGTCCAGTCCACTCCCATTGGATTGGATTTAATTCATTTCTTATATAGTACCTTGCACTGCAGTTCATGGTAGTTTTTTATTTTATTTATACAAAAATGTTCTGAGGGTTGAAGGATGAGTGATTGTTTGAGAGAGAACCAATCAGATTATAGAGGAGGTCTGTTAAAGCAACTAGAGCAGGCGAGACCAACCAATCAGATGTCTCAGTCCCGCATCCTCTAGTCGCTTGGGCCCACCTCCTCGACATTCTGTTCTCTTTGAACCAATAATATTTCCGTCTGCCCTCAGAACATTTTTGTGCAAGACCCATACGAGCTTCACAATAGTCTGTCCATGACGTGTGGATGTGTTGTGATACATTTGGGAGGGAGGGGGGGTCTTATTTTGGGTGGGGTTGCACTGATGCTGTGACACCCCCGCCCCCCCCGTACAGGTGCGGAAGTACCTACTGATGCTGGATGTGAGGAAGGACCACGTGAAGTTCTGGAGGCCACAGGTGCTGCTGATGGTGGCTAACCCCCGCGGCAGCGTGGGCCTCATCACCTTCATCAACGACATGAAGAAGAGCGGCCTTTACGTGCTGGGCCACATCACGCTGGGGGACCTGGGTACTGGCCTGTTCCTGTTGGGGTGGGGTGGTCAGCTGGGTGTTGGGTCTCACTCTCCTATCTCCCCACAGAGTCCCTACCGTCGGACCCCCTGCAGTCCCGCTACGACTCCTGGCTGTCGCTCGTCGACCAGCTGAACATCAAGGCCTTTGTGAACCTGACGCTGGCCGACTCCGTCCGACACGGAGTCCAACACCTGCTGTTCATCTCTGGCCTGGGTCGGTGCTGCTGCAGACTCGTCCGCATGAGCTCGCGTCATGTTCGCTCTTAAATATCCTCCTTCTCCCTCTGCAGGCGGGATGAGGCCCAATACCTTGGTGCTGGGCTTCTATGACGACTGCACGCCGCAAGACCAGCTTCAGGACGCGCCGGCTTTCTTGGGCGCCGCTGTGGACGGCCTGGGTCCCTCTCAGGACCCCGAGGAGCCGCCGGGGCTGCAATTTCCCGGGCTGCGTACCGGCGACCGGGACCTGGGGCCTCAGGAATACGTGTCCATCGTCGCGGACGCTGTAAAGATGCTGAAGAACGTAGCTCTGGCGAGGTACTTTGGCCACTTTGACCGTGCCGATGTGCTGAACCAGCCGCGGGGGGCGCTCTACGTGGACGTGTGGCCCCTGAACCTGCTGCGACCTGACAGCAGCAGCTACGTGGACACGTGCAGCCTCTTCCTGCTGCAGCTGGCCTGCGTCCTCAACATGGCGCGGGCATGGCGGCGGGCCAGGCTCCGCCTCTTCCTGTGTGTGGAGGAGGGGCGGAGCCCACAGGGCCCCGAGGAGAAGCTGGGACAGCTGCTGCGGGAGCTGCGCATGTCTGCCGACGTCTTCATGGTGCCCTGGGACCACGTGGTTGCCCTGCACTGGCAGCGGCAGGGCATGACGGGTCCAGCCGTGGAGGACGAGGAGGACTACGCCAACAGCTTCCCCAGCAATGCCACGCGGCTGTCGGACGACTACATCCGGGCCGTCAACCAGCTGGTGTTGCAGCGGCCTGGCCCGCCCCCTGCCGTCCGCTTCCTGTACTTGCCCCGCCCCCCGGCCGACACCCATCGCTATCCGACCTACCTGCACCAGCTGGAGCTGCTGACCCGTGACTTGGGCCCCACACTGCTCATCCACGGCATCACACCAGTAATCACCACTGACCTCTAACCCCCCCCCCACCCGGTAATGGTGTCACCCTTAATGTGAGACGGTTCTGGTGCCTTCTGGTGTTGTTGCTTTACATGGTACGTTGGGATCCTTTTAAACTGTAAACTGACCACATTTTTTTCCCCCCTCTTTTATCTCCACACTCGGAATGCATTTTAACACAAATTGTTTCCTGTTCCTACCCAAAAAAAAAAAAAAAGAATAAATTCTTTTTTTATTTATTCAATTATAAATATTTTTGGAGTATTAAATTCAATGTAAAAAATTTTGAGAATTTTGCTTAATTCTCTTCTGGGTGGTTTCTATGGTTACGGGGTCCGTGATCTGGGGAACCATGGCGACTTCAAACTGCAGAGGTCTGTGTGCAGGACTGGGCTTTTCTGTGTGTGCTTGTGATTCATATTAAAAAGAGAAAAAACACCCCGAATGAGGAATTGGATCGTAGCTGGTCTTTAACCAAGCAGGGTGCAGAAAGTCTATTATAGCAAGCAGCAGAATGTCAGTGTGGGGGGCAGCTGCTGTTTTGGTGGGGGGGCGGTTTATGACGATGCCCAGCTCTTCTGTCTCGCTGGTCGGAATGTGCCGCTGTTGGACTTTGCCAGCCATCGGTGGTGGGAGGCCAGTGGATGCCAGCTGCAGTGTGGTGTGTTGGGGCGTGACATCCGGATGCGGCGTAACAAAGCGACCTTAATTTACGAGTGCAGCAGTGGTTGTCAGCCAAGGTGGGCAGGATGCTGGCGATTACAAACGATCACAGCCACAAAAAATTCCTGAAATATGTTTTTTTTTTTTTTTTTTTTTTTTTAAATCACACTCCCCACAATCCACTTTTCGGTCGTGACCAGGCAGTGGAGATACCGTGGTGCGGAGTGGGGGATCCGAAATGCTTCCGTTTTCTCACATGTGAACAGAATGTGTGAGCGCGAGGGGTCATAAGAAAATGACAATATATAGTTTATTTTTGGAAATCAATCAGCCCTTTGCAAAAACCCCCTGCGTTCCGCAGCTCCGCGGAACACTGGCCGTGGAGCGGCACTGCGTACAGCATCGTCATGGCGACAGGCTGACCCGGCGACTGGCGTGTTATTGCTGTTACTTGGTGTGTCCAGATGAAGGTTGAGCGTGAAACGGCGGCCGCGACCGGAGCATGGCTTCGCATTTAAGCCCGTTCTGCTTTTATCAGAACCGCTGGGGCCGTCTGGTCGCCGGAGTGTATCCGCGTTGCACCGTTTCGACAGAGCCGGTTTCATGCGCTCGTCTAAAGGCAACACCCTCCACCCCCCACCGCTAATGTATGCAGGGGATTGTAGATTTAAGGTGTAATTCTGTGTCTCCAGCGGCTTGTGAAATGTCTCCGCGCGTGTTTGCGGAGAGCCGGGCGCGGGCGAGCTTCGCACGCAGGCGCCGCCGAGTCTAATTCAGCGGCGGCGAGCTCTCCATCACGATTGAGTGCATCGATTTCGCCGTTTGCTGTGCCGTGTTTGATCGGCGCCCATAAACGAACTCGTCCCGTGTAATTTCCCAAGCTCTGTCTCCGTGGAACGGGAAGCCGCAGTTACCGGGGTAAACCACCAGGGGCAGATAGGTGGTCTAACTTCCCCAGAGTGCTAGAGTGTGGTTAACCTGGTAACATCGACACAATGGGTTTGGGAGGGAGGCAGGCTCTCTCTTGGGGGGGCGGCGGTACATACACATTTGCCGTATTGTCTTGCCCCTCAGGGGCAGTGATGGAGTTTCACCACAGAGTTATAAGCCATTCTCAAGCTGACCAAGAGTAACTCCTCTTACACCTTTGCTGCTGGGGTTTGTTTTTCTTCAAAATCCAACTACTCTAGTCCTGAGGATAAAGGCTCCTGGTGAATTAATAAATGCTGCCGTGATGAAGCCTTTATCTAGAAGGACTTTGTAGCATGATTTCAGGGCATAGCTCCTCTCTTCCAGTGCTGGTTTGATGCTGCATTCCTCCTTGGGGCTTTGAGCACAATCTCTGAGACGGCTGATACATCTCTCCCACTTTCTCATCCCTACCGATTCTCCTCAGTTATTCTTCTCCTCCTCGTTCCGCTCCACATCTGCAGTGTGTTTGTTTCTCACACCTGGAACTCTGATCTGAGGCCGACTGACCTCCACATGGCTCCCAGGGTGGGAGGAGCCCAGGGGTCCTTGTCTCTGAAGACCTACTACTTGGCTGCACATCGCAGGAGATGCTGAGTGTTTTATCTGCGAGTGCTGCTTTCCATTAAGGCTGGTGGGCTGTTATGTGGAATAGCCGATACGACCTGCTGCGCTCCAGTAATAAAATACACACACCTCTTTCCTGCTTCCATATTTCTATAACTTCCGCCAGTCAATTTCCCATCATGCACCTCTTTCCCTCTCGGGCTGAAGCGTATCTAAAGAAATGGCTCTGGCAGACCTATTCTGTGAGCAACGTGTCTGATTCAAAGACCGCGACCTGACTGCGTCAGGCTGTTCTGATCTGCTGGCCAGGTGTGTGTTTGTGTGTGTGCACCCTCTCTATGAGATATAGGTGTACACCATCCATCATCAGCTCCATTCTGTAGGTTAAGATCTCTGTGCCGGTGGTCGGGCAGGTGTAAGCGTAGGGCGATTTATGAGAGGGTGGGGGGGGGGGACATGGAATAAATCTCCAAACTGTCCAATCAGGACAAGCGATGGTGTAGTATTTTACACCCTGTGCCGCATGGTTTGTGGGACAAGCGGACTGTAGCCTCCAAACCTAATCTCTAGTACTGTGTATGTGTCTGGATGTTTCCGTGGTGTTCCGCCTTGACGGGTGTCCGACGTCTTCTCCAGCAGGTTCTCTTCCGACGGCTCCGTCACCGGTCCGCTCGGATCGCCCCGACATTCCACTTTCAGCCAGGATCCAAAGCAGTTAAACAAAAGCAATTTGGCTGCAGTGGGGGGGGGGGGCACAACCCAAGAAAAACAAAGACTTCCTCCTGATTGAATCTTCTCAGGCGTGGCATTGAGATAAATCACAAACGGAGAGGGAGTTTACAGCGGGGACCTGCGTTTAGTCGCACAGAGTCAGAGCGAGAGATGGAGACAGTCGGCAAGTCTGACACATGGTCTTGTGTCTATGTGCGTGTGTGTGCGTGTGTGTCTGTGTGTGTGTGTGTGTCTGTCTGTGTGTGTGTGTCTGTCTGTGTGTGTACATTTTCCTCCTTCCTTCGCTCTGTAATTAGCTCTGTAATTAGTTCAATGCAGGCAGTAATTGGGTAAAATTCAGTGCCCCCCCCCCTCAGATCTCATTAGAAAGGCAGGGGACCTTAGCTGTGAGGAGACAGAGACAGAGTATAGTGAGCCCTCAGCCCCCCCCCCTCCGTGAAAAGGGTCATAATGGTACAACAGACATAACCATTCTCTGCAGTAACTGCTGTTGAACCAACATGCCCATGATGAAGCATTTCCCTGCATGCTCCCGCTTGGACACATGCTCACAGGCCTGTGGCATCCAGGCTGCAGTTTGACTGTGGCTGACAGGTGGCATCCTGCCCCCTACTGGACAGACACTCAGTAATTTGGAATTCCGTGGGATTTGTTTTTGCAGATGTCCCTGTCGTGCCCCCTCTCTCTGGGGATGTGTTTCTCATCCTGGGGGCGTTCCTTCCCCACCTCCTCGGCCAGCCCAGAGTGAAGGGGGCTGATTTACAGGCCATCCTGTGACAAACCCATTGTGCTTTTCAGCTCGCTGTGACCGCGTCTTCCACATGTGGGGGTGGGGGGGGTCACTTACTCCTCATCATTTTTTCATGAATAGTGACATGTTTAAGCAGGGCCCCCTCAGCTCCACTGTCATGTTGCTCTGTTTCCCCTTCCTCCCCCTTTCTTGTGCTCCCTCTCTCCCTCCGTCCACTATTCCTGTCCTCTCTTTCCCTCCCTTCCTCCTTCCTCTTTCTGTGCTCTCTCCCTCACCTGTGCTCTGTTTCCTTCTCTCCTCCTCTTCCAACTCCCTGTCTCCCTTTCTTCTCCATTACCTGTACATCCTCTCTCCCTCCTTCCTATTTCCTGTGCCTCCTCTCTCCTTCCCTCCTACTTTCCGATGCTCTCTTCCTCCTATCTGTTTTCCTGTGCCTCCTCTTTCCTTCCTTTCTACTTTCCGATGCTCTCTTCCTCCTATCTGTTTTCCTGTGCCTCCTCTCTCCTTCCCTCCTACTTTCCGATGCGCCCTCCCTCCTGTCTACTTTCTTGTGCCCCCTCTCTCCATCCCTCCTCCGTCCCTGTGCTGCCCTTACCTCCTCCTCCCTGACTAGTGTCTCTCCCCTGTTGCCTGCAGTAGTATCACCTCCTTGTTTCTGCAGCCTCTGATAAGCTGCATGCTTTTCCCAGCACACCCCCCTTCCAAGCTCCCACAGCCCAGAGCGGGGAATTCGGGGTTTACTAGGCTGGGCCATACGCTGAATGTGTGGGGGGCAGGCGGGGGCTCTGTTTTCCTATTTTCATTGTTAGTCATGTTTTACACTGATTGATTTAGTTGGCAACACAGAGTAATAATTAACACAAACAAAAGGAGAGTTAATGTCGCCTGACTTTCCTGTGGTTTTGCCATTACAAAGAAAAAAGGAACATATCAAGAGCTTTGCCTTCTATTGTCATCCACAATCTCCCAGTTTCCCCTCGTTCACTCTGCCTCCTCACTCATCTGCTGCTTCTTCCCCTCCTTACTCCACTCCTGCCGTTTCCCCTCATTCACTCTGTCTCCTCACTCCTCTCCCAGTTTCCCCTCGTTCACTCTGCCTCCTCACTCATCTGCTGCTTCTTCCCCTCCTTACTCCACTCCTGCTGTTTCCCCTCATTCACTCTGTCTCCTCACTCCTCTCCCAGTTTCTCCTCATTCACTCTGCCACCTCAGGTCTTTCCTGCTGCTTCCCCTCCTTACTCCTCTCCTACTCCTTCCCCTTGTTCACTTTGCCTCCTCACTTCTCTCCTGCTTTTCTCCCTCATTCATGTTACCTCCTCACTCCTCTCTTGCTGTTTCCCCTCGTTCACTCTGCCTTCTTACTCCTCTCCTGCTATTTATCCTCATTCATTCTGCTGTTTTCTCTCATTAATCCTCACACCTTTCCGGCTGTCTCCCCTCATTCATTCTGTTCTCCTCACTCCTCTATTGCTGTTTTACCTCATTCACTCTGTTCCCCTCCTCACTTCTCTCCTGCTGCTTCCCCTCATTCACTCTGCCTCATCACTCCTCTCCTGCTATTTCCCCTAGTTAACTCTACTGTCGTCCCTCATTCACTCTGTTCTTCTCACTCCTCTACTGCTGTTTCCCCTCATTCACTCTGTTCTCCTCCTCACTCCTCTCCTGCCATTTCCACTCTTTCACTCCGCCTGCTTCCTCACGCTTCTCATTTGCTGCCAGCTGTAGTGATGCGTGTCTGTGTCCTGTTGTGTGTGTGTCTGTGCTGCTCTCTGAGATTCATTTCTTTAAGAGGATTTATGGCTTCTAGTGCCTAAAATGAATATTAGTAGCTTTAGCGCGAACCCAGATGGAGGGTTCAGTGTATTTCAAGTGTATTATTGCAAAGTGCTTTTTGGGGAGACAGGTGCAGGACAGCCTGACTCCATGTTCATATCTTATGAGCAACACTGTCCTGCATTTCGATTAACAGTGTGCAGAGTGCAGTGAACATACCTCACAGTAAACACACCATGTAGTAAATACACCACACAGTAAACACACCGCGTAGTAAATACACCACACAGTAAACACACCATGTAGTAAA